AAAAAAAAAAAAAAAAAAAAGAATGGACTCTGGGGCTTCCCTGGTGGCGCAGTGGTTGAGAGTCCACCTGCCGATGCAGGAGACACGGGTTCGTGCCCCAGTCTGGGAGGATCCCACATGCCGCAGAGTGGCTGGGCCCGTGAGCCATGGCCAGAGCCTGTGCTGCACAACAGGAGAGGCCACAACAGTGAGAGGCCCGCGTATCGCAAAAAAAAAGAATGAACTCTGCCATTGTGCCATTGTCATACCAGTTCTTACTTAACACTGGCAATGTAACCCGAGGATCTAGTGGCAGGATCAAGGGGAAAACAAACAAAAAAAGGGATCATCAGCAAATCACGCACACTTGGAAACAATCATTATGTTCGAATGAGTCTTGACTTTGTTCCAAATACCCAGGGCATGTGTAGGTTTTATGGGTGTGGACATATATTACAAGATACAAGATTCTCATCACCATCCCTTTTTCTGAGCCAGCCGTTGGGCAAACGGAAATGTTATCGGTCCAGAACCAGTGGTCCTCTTGGGGTGACAAAAAGAGATGACCCAAAGCCAGATCCAGAGATGCCCTGGAGTTATTTATAAGTGAAAAGCCATATTACCCTCCTGCCATCCTGAGCCCCTCAACATCTGATTGGCTGGAATCTTAGAGTAGTCAGTCTCCCAGCTGACGGGTGACTCATCATGTCATTTAAGTTTGTCAGTCAATGGAAACCAGAGGTCCAAAGTCTCTCTCCAGGACTCTCCCTGGGGAAACTATTAGGGAGAAGGCAGCCTTGCCAGATGTCTCAGTCCAGCTGGCCTAATGGGCATGTGCAGGGCATCTGCTTATACTCAGGGCCTGGCATGAGCAGAGGGCCCTGGAACGATTCTCTAGGTTTGCTGTCAGTTTTCTTACCATCAGCTACTAAGAAAGCCACCGGTAAACCAATGAGCACCTTGAAATATAAACAAGTAAAAAGACATTTAACTTTCCCATTTCAGCTGGGAAAATCTGAGTTCATTCTGGGTCTAGTGGGCTGGACTTCATGTAGTGGAAAGTACATCACATTTGGAGACAGAAAAGTTGGATTCCCATCCCAACCTGCACTTAGTAATATGAACTTAAATTTTTCTCTTTTTCTTTTTTTTTTTTTGCGGTACGCGGGCCTCTCACTGTTGTGGCCTCTCCCGTTGCGGAGCACAGGCTCCGGACGCGCAGGCTGAGTCAGCGGCCATGGCTCACGGGCCCAGCCGCTCCGCAGCATGTGAGATCCTCCCGGACCGGGGCACGAACCCGTGTCCCCTGCATCGGCTGCGCCACCAGGGAAGCCCTCTATCTGGCTTTTAAACTGATTTTATCAAAAAGCAAAGACATGCTCTTTCTTCAGAAGCTTACTCCTCCTGGCTTCCCTTTTCTGTCAGTGATGATAACCTTTATGGGTATAAAGATAACGCAGAGTCATTGTCTTTGACATCTCTCTCCACTTCTCCTTTGCCTTTTCCCATCCTATGAACCATCATTTTTCTTTTCCTTCTTTTATCTATCATCTTGGTGTCTCACAGAACCAGGCTTGACTCTAGTGCCAGGCATATGACCTTAAGGAACTTTCTTTATACACTGACACTTGGTGTCCACATCTGTGAAATGAAATAGTGGAAGTTGCAGATCTGTCTGTGAGGATTAAACCAGATTGCCTTTGCCAAATGCAGGGCACATGTGAGCTGAGTTCTCCCTTCTAGCTAAGTTGGATGCCCCAGGGACGTCTGCTATCACCCAGCCTTTTCCCCTTCCTGCTTCCATAGGGTCAACCCTGTTCTTCACTTTGCCTGGACTCTTCTCTCCCCCTTTCCCATTTCTGCCTATCAAGCTCGTATGCATCCTTCATGGACCATCTTTCAAATACTCCCTGCCTTTGGCATCCAGAGGTGACGCTACTGCCTCTGGACTGTAAATGATTCTTGCATTTTATTCCTAGAACTCATGAGGCACTTGACATGACTACTGTGCACTCTGCTTTTGTATACGCCATCTCTTCTCGTGAACTTTCATGTTTACCTTCCTTATGCATACCATTTACTTAATAAATAGTTTTCAAGTGACTGAAAAGAACCATCAGTTAATCAATGATGGATGTCCAGACCTGAAACGAGCGAATGAAGTGCTCTAGCAATTTGGAAGTGATGGAATGATTTAAACGAAGACTCAGACACCAAAGACACTTCCCATTTTGTGTGCTGATGTTTTAATGAATATTTTATAATCTTACAAAATAACTGGCTGTAGCTGTTTTACGTTACAATACAGTAGATAGCTCCTTTCACTGTGTTCCCAATCAAGCCAGCCCCTTGGGATGCTAACTGACACACTCAATAGTGATCTCACAGAGGAGAGGACATGCCAAATCCAATGCCTTGTCATGGGGGGGAAGGAAAAGAGAGAATCCAGAATAGCTCTTTCCTTGCATGTACAAGTTTGTCAGCTGACCATTCTCCCCACTCTGCCCTCTCAGCCCTCTAGTTGGAAACGGCCACACTGATCATCAGAGTCTTCCAGCCCTAGGCAACCTGGACCCCAGCGCTCCTAGTTACTGGGAAAAAGAAGAAGCAGAGAAGTGATTTTGGAACAAGGAAACAAATGGAAGCGCCTCTGGGAGAGGCCCTCTGTGGCCCCATGTATGGGGAAGAGCAGCAGAATGCAGACCGCCACATGGAGTGAGTGTGAGCTAATACCCACTGGGGATTTGTGACCGTGGTGTCTTAGAGCTTCAACTTTATTAGCGACCTGAGGAGCCCGAAGCACTAGGCTCCAGGGACAAAGGCTGGAAGAACCTGCCATCTATGAATGGCCAGGACTGACTTGGGCTGGGCAGCCTGTAGCCTGAAAGGCTTTCCCCCCCCCCCCCCCCCCAGAACCCTCCTCTCACCTTCCCGGGGCAGCGATGGAGTGCAGGTGTTGCCAACAGAGAATGAAATATTTTAAAATGAAGTACGAAAGAGAAATGTTCTCACGGTAACTCCTGTGGGAAGACTGAGCCCAGATCCATGCTGGCATGAACCACAGGCTCTGTATTCCTGGGGCTTGGGGTGGGAGGGGGTGGGGGTGGGTGGGTGGATGTAGCCTTCCTGAGCTGGGCGAAGCCCAGGATAACTCTCAAGCTCAGACATGGCAGGATTCCCCTGCACGGAGTTTGACATGCTTCAAGAAATTTGGATAACCATCTTACAACTGTTTTAAAATGAAGAATCTAAACTCTTCTACTGTCCTTTCCATATTGAAGCCTATCAGAATCCCAGAAATAAATATTCTCTTCTTGGGGGCACTAAATGTGAACCCAGATAAGGAACAGTAGGTATCTAGGCTATTGTTTCCATTACGGCTGGAAATACAGAGAACAGGAGTATTTTGCATGGGCAGACTCTGGTCTTTCCCTTCCCCGGTGACCTTGCCACCCTCATTTCAGATCCCCACAGATAAATATGTTGTTCTTTCCTACGTGAAGTCTGGCTCAAGATAGTGGGGGAAGCATTTCTTCTTTCTATTGATAGTTGCACAGCCACTGCTTTCAGGGTTGATGGGAAGAATAGAAAACTGTGGTCAGAGCCAAAGGGCAGGCGATCCAGGGAGACCAAGGCTGCCCTTGAACTTTTGCCTGTTCTTCCCTTCCTGAGATGATAAACTGGGGTGTTGAACAAGAAACTAGCTCCTTACTTTCTTTCCCCAAGGCCTAATCCATAAATCGTCACTAAAGAACAACAACTGCAGTAGACCACGTGCAAAATGAGTCAGCCCAGGACGTAAACAGAGGCAGGTTAACGCGGTCATTTCACATACAGTCCATCTATTGAACAAGAAAGGGTAACAACGACAAAACGGACCCTAAGCAGCTGAAATTCTTCTCTCTCCCCACAGAGTGTCACCCTTGTTCCATGTTATTTTCATAGCTTGCTCAAAGTGCTCTCTCTGGGACACATTTGACACATCACACTTGAATAGAATTTACCTCCGAGTCTGCATTGTTCAAAAGATCCCCTTTGGTCTGCTGTGGAGACTCGGAACGAGGCTGAGTCTCCTTGACTCAATTCATCCTCCAGCCCTGGGCTCTGATTTACCCTGACTTCTCCCCTGTCTGTCTATGGCCTCCTCCAAACCTGCCTGTTCTTCAGTTTCCTCCACCTTTCCCCGATGTCATTTCCATGACATTTTTTCCCCAGAAAGTCAACAATAGGTCATGTGGCTGTGAATGATGGCCAGGCTTGGAGACTTAGGAAAAGGGAGACCACAGGCCAAGTATGAGGCATGCGTGAGTTCCTGTAGTCCTGGTGATGGGAGAGTGAGCCTACATACAGACTTGTGGACTGAGTGACTGGCTGAGAGCCACACTTGGAACAGGCACCTGTGGAAGTGCAGAAAATCCTGGGCCTCACCAACTGCAACGAAGAGTTCCAAGAACTGAAGAGAATGTATTCTTTTTGGATGGATACTCAAGAACCATAGTCTAGTTTTCCTGGACCCATCACCAATGGATAACCCCACCCACCTTTCCATGCCTTTTAGTATTATCATTCCAAGCCCCCATCTCCTCAAACTGGGCTCAGCTCCCAGTTCATAAAAAGATGATTAGCTGACATGTGATTATCAAAAACTCCATCTAATCTCTCCCTTTCCTTCCCCAGCTCCCTCTCAGCCTGCCAATCCCTAGGGATAGAAAGATGGCAGAAGAACATGTCTTTCGGTCCTCAAACCCTCAGCATTCATTTTGGACGTGAACTTCACAGCAGCATGTGTGGAACAATGGATAATTTTTAGCTTAGTAGACAGCAAAAAATATAATATATATAATATATTTATATCATTATGTTTAAATACTTATAAAGAATTAATAACTAACCTCATTATTACTAAGGGAGACTACACAAAGAAAGGGAGAGAGCCAGTTTAGATTGGACGAGCCCTGAAAGATGGCCATCCATTCAAAATGGGTATTAGCAGAGTGTCCCTGGCAACTTCTCTTCTAGTATTTTGGTATTGGTTTACAAGTTGGGCGGGGCTGAATAGTTGGCAGGGTGCAGAGTGGGGAGCAGGGTAAGAGTTGAGGATGGGATTTGATAGAATATAAATGGGGAAGGAGGGTCCTTGTATATATATCATATTTCTCTTTCCACTTTAAATCAACTGCCTCTTTGAAGAAATGTTTGCCTGTGATCCTTACTTGGGCTACTTGACGCAATAGTTGGCACCTATAAACGTCCTCTTGCATTTCTTATAGGATCCTTGGTGTTCTTCTTCCTTCCTTCATTTCATGACCTTTCTTCTTCATTCATCTTTTGTTTCCTTTTGTGGAGGCCTCTGATTCTTACTGCCTCCAGGGCAGTGGAAGGAGGGGCTTGATCCCACAGTTACAGGTTTTCTTCCGCCTTGGGGTCTCGGCAGGTGCATTCATCCAGATCACAGTCAGCAGCAAATGGAATGACCTAGGAGAAATCAAAGAGAAGTTGCAATCACTCATTTTTGCACCAAGCATCACACTTTCAACCAGCTTTTGCTTTTTTTCTCACTTGGTCCCAGAGGAAGTGTGGGATTGCGTGTTAGTATCACAGAACTGAAATTAACACTCAGTTCTTTCACTTACACACCATGTCTCCTTAGGCAAGGTAAACCTTCCTTGCTTCACTTTCTTTATATATAAAGTGGGAGGGCAACAGCAACTACCCAAGAGGGTGTTAGTGTAGTTTAAATAAGATGATGGATATGAAACACACATTTCCAGGCACCTCTAATACCTGTTACTACTACTTCTAACATTACCACTAGTGTTCAAAACTACTGCTGTTAACGTTTTTGTTGTTATTATCAATCTTCGCAAAATCTTTGTAAAGTAGGTAAGATGAATATTAGTATTTTCTTCTTACAGGGAAGGTCAAGAGAGGTAGGATGACTTAACTCAAGGTCATGACACTACTACCTGGAAAACCAAGGCTCTGTTACCTAGCTCTATGTCTTCTACTTTTTTGATGTTCTTGGGGCCATAGAATCATCTCTTCTATCTTCATAAGCTTGAGGTTTTGCCCTTCTTGAACCCAGGATATACTTTGGCTTGGTGAAACAATGCATCTTTCTACCCGTTGTTTGTGGCTAGATTGCCTTCCTGCTATGTAATTATCCCTCCTCCAGGTCAGAGATGGTCCAGCAAAAGTTGCTCTCTTCCTGCTTGCACTGCTACCAACAGATAATCATACTTTTTGCGTGTCCATAACTAGCTTCAGAGAGAACTGAGCATTCAGGAGACATGATGTAAAAGTGGCAAAGATTCTGCTCTTTGGGCATGGATAGTCAAATGAAACAACAATACATCAGCATATTATTTAATAGTCCAAGTACACTGAAGAGATAGGCTGGGTGACTGGGCAAGTGGGCTGGAGAACGGGTGGTGGGGTTTGAGGAAATTTCCCAGCATATTTTCACATATGAATTAAATGTAATTTAGGAGTCAACAGGGGTGAAATGCTTTTTCAATCCTGATTCATGTGTATACTGGCCACAGGCACCAAACTCCATTAAAGAAAAACCCTAGATCTGCTGAGTGTGAGATGGAGATGGGGAGAGAATTGACTGCTTTCTTCCGAAGTGGTTATGCCTTCCTGAGTAGAAATGGGATCCTTGACCAGGTACTTTCTTCAAGTGAGACCAGGAACTAGTTGGCATGATGTCTGACCTGCAATCCAAGCTCTTGATCTGCTTCTCATGGTTTGGGATTTGCTGGTTTTTAGAGCAAAAGGGGGCCAAATTGAACAGTGATACAAAAGTCCCTGAGCTCTCTGCACTCAATAAGTTAATTCATGTCAGTGGTGAGAACAATGCTGGCACAGAGTGAGCCATCCGTAAATATTAGCCATTAGGAGGAGTATTCAGGTCTGTGTAGAGGTAATCATGCAGACGTGACCTTATTGTGGAGACACATACAAGGAAGGAAACATTCTTGTGTATTTCTGATTCATCAAATCGGCCAACTGGCGTCAGTTATCTTTGGAGCTCTTGGGTTTTCATCCATATTATTCCAAATTTTCAGCCTATTCAATTTTATAGGCTTAGCTTAAGCATATCTTCTATTTTAATAGAGTCCAGAGCAACAGGATAAAAGGCTTCAAGAAAAGGGCTACTGCTCAGGATACAGCGGGGGAGAGCTCCAGGTAGCTTGTGGTGCCTGCTCAACATACACCTGCAATATGCTTGTAATACACTTTATAGGATTATTCATTTAGCTGTGAAGTTTAAAAATAAGTGGATACCACTTCATGGATAATCCTGCCTCTCCAAGGAGTGGAGGCCATTTTTCCCTACCTACAGAAACTTTTCCTGGGCAATGATAAGCAGGTGGGAGTCTTTGAGCAGCAGAAGCATGGCTTTTCTCTAGCAGTTACAGGACTGACAGTGAGAGACTAGTGTTTTCTAACAAACAACCTATCCTAAAATTACTATCCTTAATCCTGTCACTGTAGAAGCTCCAATGTTTGTTCGTTATCATTCCCTCTTCTTGACTGTTGAAGAAAAACAAATTATGATGCACCACGAAGGAGAGCTAGCCAAAGCTCCTGCCTCTATTCCTGGAGCTGCTACCCTCTCCCTCCCACTCCCAGGTGCCCTCACTTACCTTCTTGGAGGAGAGCGTGGAAGAGCAGCAGTCTCCCCCATCATAGTGGCAGTAGGCCCGGTTATTGATGGTATCACACCAACCATCTGCTTGGAAAGGCTGGTAAGGAGGCAGCAAGTCACGGTCTAAGTACAACTTCACTCTGCTTCACCCTATTCTCCCACTCATCCCACCCCCAACATAATCCATGGAACTCAAGACATTATTATGGGAGAGCACCAAAGGGGGCAGGGTAAAAATTGACCTAACACTCTCAAGAAGTTGAAAAGTCTCAAGATAAGACCATTGGATCGAAGGAATTGTCAAATTTCACAACCAGTATCTGCTCCTGGCCTACTCTAGGGACCAGGATGGTTCATTTAATTCCTTGATCAACTTTTTCACCTTCTCGTAATAGTAGGTCTTTACATCATTAGGTAGGTTACAAAATATTTTCACACATGTTAACTCTGTTGATCATCAGGAAAACCTGTGCCTCAGGCAGGTTTGGCTTTTAAAGTCCCATTCTATCAGTGAGGAAATGGGGATAAATAGAGATGACAAAAATTACTCCAGGTCACACAGCTAGGTCAAGCGGAGTTTAGGCTTAGAAGTCATGTATCTTGATTTTTTTGCTGCTTCTCACAGATTGAGGACCATAACCCCCATCTCTTCTGGTACTTGTACTTAGAGACCCTAATAGGCCTGGGTTGCTATAGACTCAAATGATGTTTGTCCAGAATGCAGTGGTCCTAGGGTTTGGGACACCAGTGCCGGAACACAAATCATCCCACAAGTACAGCTACTTCATGCGTAGCAGGTAGACACAGGGTTAGAGCAGAGGAAGCCAAACGGTTTCCATCTACTCCTGTTACTGCTGCAAGTTAACAGGAACCAAAATGGGAAAGGGGCCCAGGCCAAACCAGAGTTAGTGGAGTGTTTCACCCCAAAAGGGAATGTATGATAAGAACAGCAACGAGCGGTTAAAAAAATAGCTCAGCAGCCCAACGCATTGTTTCTCTAGAACCACTCTCAGAGGGAAACAGTGTCCCACGGCATCCTGGGGGGTGCACCAGCCCAGGCAGCCCACCTACTCAGTCACATTAGCTGCTCCCCACCCTGAGTGGATACCCAATTGCGAAGCCTCAGGAAGCATCTCGTAGTCAAGCTCTTTGGGCCAGAGGACCGTCAGTAGACTCTTGAGGCCTGAGGCCACCTTCCAGTTCACATATTCAAATCACTTTCTCTTCCCCCACCCTCCTTAAATGTCAAATAGAAGGACTGTTCCCTATTTCACTCTTGCTTTGATGAGATAGATCACTAAAGTAAAAAATGGCCATTAAGGGACTTCCCTGGTGGTGCAGTGGTTAAGGATCCGCCTGCCAATGCAGGGGACATGGGTTTGAGCCCTGGTCCGGGAAGATCCCACATGCCACGGAGCAACTAAGCCCGTGCGCCACAACTACTGAGCCTGCGCTCTAGAGCCCACGAGCCACAACTACCGAGCCCATATGCCACAACTACTGAAGCCCGCGCGCCTAGAGCCCGTGCTCCGCAACAAAAGAAACCACCGCAATGAGAAGCCCGTGCACCACAACGAAGAGTAGCCCCCGCTCGCCGCAACTAGAGAAAGCCCGCGCACAGCAACGAAGACCCAACGCAGCCAAAAATAAATAAATAAATACAAAATTTTGTTTTAATGGCCATTAAATAATTTTCAGCAATTGAGTTACATCAGAATGAGCTCATCCAAGTTATGTCTTCAATGTTTTGATTTATTCTATGGGGTCCTGAGGTCACTTGAACATCATTCCAGATGTATACCAGTTTGCGAACCTCTGAGAAGCTGCTACTTGTGGGGTGGAACTCAACAGCTGTCACACAGCTGCACAGCAACGTCAGTTGAGAGCAGGAAGTGAAAATGAATTCTGTTCTCAACACACGCCTCACTGGGATAAAAGACATAGATTTTGAGATGAGCATTTGTCTTTAACCCTGGAGCCAGTTACTCTGGCTCTGGAGAACTTGGAATAACTACATAATCATAACTTGAATCTACAATTGCAGCCAAATAGGAGTCAAAATACAACTAGCTGCATCCTTAACACCTATAGATGCCCTTGGGTTCTCCTGGGAGGACCAGATACATCCATTGAGATTCCCCCAGAATTTTCTTTTTCCAGTGTTTGGAGTATATCTTCCTCATCTAACACTGCATCTGTTACTTTCCCTCCAACCCTGACTGACTCATTGGCAAAACTTAATCTGTTTCTTCTTTCTTTTTCATGTAATCGTCTATAAAAATCCAAAGAGCACCCAAAATACTGCTCCTACATGTAAAAGTATGGTCTTCAATATGGAGGATTAAAGGGAGATCTAAAGATCTTCCTTTTCATAAGAACAACTTAGACATTTGAATGGATTAATAAAAGATCCTGGGAATCTTTCTTTCCAACCTCTCCCCCAAGGATGGCTTCTCATCTCAAGAGTATTAGGGAAGGTATGTTGAAAAGATTAGAAATTGTCTAGGTGATCTTCTCTAGAGCTCACTGGACTTTGATGGCTATAGCCTGGACATGATTTCTAGAATGTTCTTAAAGGGTCATCTGGGAAGAGAAGGGAATTTATAAAAAGGAGCATAAATACAGAGAAAAGGTTGGAAAGACACAAGTATTTAATTTACTATATACCTATTAGAATTAATTGCTCCTCCCCTAACCTGCCAAAAATAACTACTCCACCCTAAACAAACAGAGTCTCCTATGGCAACATGTGCCTGAAAGCTTGACAGCTTGAGTCCAAAGTTACAATGGAAAAAATAGGAAGGGAAAAATGACTAATCGATCCAAAGTTTCTAAAGTCTCTGAAGACTGGACTAGATTGGGGGACGCAAATCTCAATAATTGAAAGGTGTCTGACTTGGGACATCACTCCTCCCCACAGGAAACTTCCCCAAGGAATGGTACAAGGCTTGGCTTCTCTGCACAATGTGTCCATAGGTGAATTTTTCACTACCCATACCTGCACCTCATTTTCCTGTAACATCAGAAAACGAAGTGTTCCAAATAAGAGAATTTTTCAAGTACCTAAAGCTTATTTCTTTAAGAGCCACTTTTTAATTTTCATTTTAATTGTTTTCACAAAAGAAAAAAACCTGTACAAAATTCCTGTTTCCTGTGCTATGCGGCTGCTTCCCACTAGCTACCTATTTTACGTTTGGTAGTGTATATATGTCCATGCCACTCTCTCACTTTAGCACAGGGAGATCAGCTAGGTGGTTTGTGACCACCTAGAAGGGTGGGATAGGGAGGGTGGGAGGGAGGGAGACACAAGAGGGAAGACATATGGGAACATATGTATATGTATAACTGATTCACTTTGTTAATAAAGCAGAAACTAACACACCACTGTAAAGCAATTACACTCCAATAAAGATGTTAAAAAAAAATCCTGTTTCCCTGCCTTTTAATAACTTATAGAATACAAAGTCATTGACATGAATATTTTTCCTTTTTACTTATAAGGAGGCTCTTTGCATTGGGCTATTTACCCCTTTACTAAATGAGCCTCCTTCAACACACACACACACACACACACACACACACACACACACACACACACACACACACACACACACACACCCTCATGGGTCAAGCTTTGTAGAATTATACCTAAAATGAATACTTAAGTCTGACAGAGAGGCTGGGTTGCTCTTCTTATGATGTATGAGCTTGATGATACCTATTTCAGTTGTTATAGGAACGCTTTTCTTGCCAACTGGCTATGTTCCAGGCAGTTGAGGTGGCCATATGAATGGAAGTGCATAACTGATGAAATACAAAGAGGAAAGGCTGTCAGTCTGTCCTATCCATATGACTTTACTTCTCAGAAGTAAGATAATTTCTCCTTTATGTTATATTATCTGGTGATATTTTCTGTTTAAGTTGTTCTGGGGAGTTGGGTATAGGAATGGTAGCTCTGTCTGTTGCCTATGGATGTAGTCATTTATTCAATCACTCAACATTTATTCCTCACCTATTTGTACCAGGCATTGTTATGAGGGTACAGAGAGAAATAAAACATGGCTCCAGTCCTCAAGAGAAGCCCCCACTTGCAGTTATAGCTTATGATGACAAGTGCTAGCATAGAGATGCAGACAGAAGTACCTAGTCCAGATTTGGGGTGGGTGGGGATGCGGAAAGGACGACATGAGCTTTCAGGGGCTGGCTTTGCTACATCTAGCCCACGTGAAAAAGAGTTTAGCACTGGATGATTCAGAGGGGTAGAGGGGCCTGAGAAAACTGTGCAAGTGAAAGAAGAGGGTAAAAATAGATAGGCAGGTTGTCCCAGACTGCTCATCACAGAGCCCACTGTCAGGAAGAGTTCCCTAAACTTTGACTGATTGGCTGATTGATAGTACCTCTATTATGTGAATTAGATTAAGAACATTTTTCTTCTACAGCTTGCAACAGAACCCATGAGCACACTGATGTTCTAGAAAGGTTAGTTTGGGCTTCAGACCCTCTGCTCTACTAACATAAAGATTGAGATATCAGCCCAAAGTGATTATACCCCTATAGGTAAAGCATGGGACAGAAGCCCGATAAGTAATCTTGAGGAGCGTGTTAAAACAGGAGAAGACGCTAATCACATTTCTGTATAATGCCTAACACTATTTTCTTTCTCCTACATCATTTCCCATCGAAACCTTCTCGTTATGTGAATGACAAATCAGACCCACACCCAGTTCTTCATATTGATTAGGCTACATCAGGCCAAAAGAAGCCATCTTCCAAGGCAGCTGTGGTGCCACACCCAGTGAAGTCCATGCAGCAGATGGAAGTTCTCTGGCTCTCCAATGAATGGTGACCTCCAGCCTGGTTCTTTCAGCCCTTGGATCTGCCCACGTGTCCATTGCTTCACCTGCGAATCTCAGGGGCAAAATTCAGAGGTCTTTGAGGCCCCTCAGGGACTCTTGATGACCAGAACATTAGTTGCTTTCTTTTTTTTTTTTAAGGACCATAGATGCATAAAATTCAAAGGCTGGATGGATTCTTGAATACTATTTAGTACAAAACTCTCATTTTACAAATGCTGAAGTGGCCCCTTAAAACAGTGAA